TTATCAACACCTTTTCCCCATTGAATACGTTTTCTGTCACGGTTGACGTGTACAGCTTTTTTAAACTGAAATATAAACTTCACTGGTTGCAAAACTTATGCATAATACATAACAGTACAACAAACCACCAGAAGCCAAAAATACTAAAATTCAAAGAAGAAACAGCTAAACACGTTTTGCAGTGTTGACGTAGAACTAGCACAGGATATATCGATCGTTTCAAATGCAGGAAAATATCACCTGGATTTCTGTGCATTGCATGCCGCTATGCTAACTGGATTGGACTGAGCACGTGTTGAGCATGCCACACCAACTAGATTGCATCGAAGAGCGATATTCACCGAGGAAGGTAGGGAAATGCCGAAGTTGGCCAACCCGAATGTAGACACGAAGATATGAAAACCCTGACCATATTAGACTTCTCGGGTTGGGGACCTCGTGATCAGCTAGATCGATAGTTTGTATGGTAAACACTGGTTCCGGTGCATTTACTTGATTTCTTCGCAACTTCAGTCTAACTGAATCTCTGTCTTTATCTTGGTACAGCTCACAGCTTCCTATTTCCTCTCTATCTAAGCCTTCGCCCAAATGGGCTTCCAGAAGACAGTAGCCATAACCGTCTCATGAAAATGTATGAGTTTCAGTTTCAGTTTTTACAACTATTAACCATGCAGTATCTTGCGCCGGTTTTGGTTGCTGTCCTTTGGCTGCCCGTTTGGATGAACCTTAGGAGAAAGACAAGAATAGTTGAAAGTAGGATAAAAGAGAAAATTTAGAATTTTAGTGAACTAATGTTGCAAAAAAATCGAGAAGGTGCACGAACGCCACTGTTTACGACACCCAGTCATATCACCCAGTGTCTCTGACCGTTGATTACAATGATCCCGATGTCCCCAGTCAGGGAGCCTAACGGGACCTATATGAACCAGTACCCTGGTTAGGGTTTTCATACCCTCGTGCCAGGTCTTAGCTAGGCTTTTTTCCATCCAATACCTGCCTCGGTAAACATCGTTCGCCGTGACAACCTATTTGGAGACATGCGTAACACGCCCCAACAAACGTAATCTATGAAGGTTCCACTTGTTCCACTGGGCGACCGCGAATACCTAAAACTCTGCGCGTCACCTCATCTTTGCTTGTCCGGTTGCCCACCAGATTCGAGCAATACTGCGTGGACAGCAGTGTTAAAACATCGACAGTCTATCTTCATCCTATTTTCTTAATGGTTAAGCTTCTGCACCAAACTACTGCAGCATACACTATACTTTTCACGGACAGCCGGATGTTGCAACGGCGTCACAGATGTGTCAAGTTGGGAAATGCAAACCGAGCCTTCTGTATGCGAGCTGACACTTCATCTGTGATGTGTCCACCGGGTGAGATGCAGCTGCCCAAATAAAAAAACATCCACTTGCTCTATTACTTCCCCGGTTAGAGTGAGACTGGGTGCTAGACCAACCCATTCTTGTAGTAACATTTTACATCAGTAGGAATTCTATAAAACGAAAACCGAGTGTACGCAGCTGAAGACTCGGATACGAGCGTTGTTTTCATCGCGTAGCCATTGTTATCCATTGGAGTGGAAATGAAGTGGAAACAGTTTACCACAGTTAGGGTGCGATAACTGACCGAATTACCCTGGGTGAAAACAATTAGACTGAACAAACACTGACCTTTCGTTTACATCCACCCCGTGTCGGATAAGGAAGCGCACCGTTTCCAACTGTCCACGAGTGACCGCACGATGAAGTAGTGAGGGTCGATCAGACTGCGCGGTAAAACGAGCCAGTACATCACTTTCGGTTGAGTTCGCCACGGAACCAGTTCGATCGTAGGACGATTTGGACGCGGCGATCAGGATGCGATTGGCCAAATCGAACTGTCCATTCCACAATGCCAGACTGAACGCGGACTCGTCATCATGGTTCAGTAAAAACCAGTTCGGTTCTCGTTGAGCTTTAGGTGAGGAAGAAGTGTGAAAACGGGATGAAACGAATGGATGGATATTGATCGAGAATGGGAAAAAGCAGGCGGTTGAGTGGATCGAGGGAAAAGAGAATCAACACTGGTACAGAACACACTGCGAGCAATCATTGTTTCGTAAAATAGTAACGAGATTTTCAACGAATGAATTAACGCAAATTGGTATCAAACTATGAGAACAGCAAACGGCACGAAGAGGCACAAACAAGTACGCCACAGACCACATTTGTGTAGAGTCTCCAATGCAAAAACGGTCAGATCATGAATAATCCGACCGGCACGTATCGACTTCCGGTTATCTGACATACACCAACAAACAGTGACCAAATAGTGCTTTCTGTATGGGAGTTCAGTGGTGAAAATCGATTCGATAAGAGCAAGCAAGTCTGTGACCATTTAGCACAATACCACACATGTCATTGTCGCGCTGATGTTATTCTACAACAAACCATAGTGTGATGAGAGATGAGCGGAGTGCACAGACTCCAAAACCAAGGGAATCAACTGTTCGATCATAGAGAGCGGTGATTTAGGCTTTCGGATTGGAAATGACAAGCGGTATAAAACTTAACAAAAATGCTGTGGTAATAAACGAAACAACAACAAAGGAGTTTACCATCAAAGTGTCACGGTTTGATCCTGGGAATAAGGGCTTGAGGCGTGGACTTCGCCAGACCAATTAACGGTTTCCATTATCCGACCACAGTCGACGTTTTCTGTATGAATGTCACTAAACAAACGAATACCCATTCACACTCATGCGAACATCGTATTCGGATCGCACTGCCAATGCTCTATAACTAGGATTCGATTTTCACTCCAAATGTTGACTTTTGCACATTCTAAAAAAAATCTTGTACCTCGTTGGCCTTAGCTTTGACAGAAATACAAATCTCACCCTCATTTGACATTACAATTTCCCGAGTGACTTTTTTCCAGTGCTCCCCAAATCGGCTCTCTATCTTTCTGTATGTTCGCAAATCTGTTGATTCTCGCCGTCTTTAACACTGATTTCCCTAATCTTGAATTCCCATCTACGTGGTTGAAACTTATGTTGCGTTCCTACAAATTGTAACATTTATCGTCCTCTTTGCACAAAAAAGGTGAGTTTTTTGGACGGTTCAGTGGTTCAAGTCACTACCACTGGCTAGATTTGGGGCCCCAGGATGCAACGTTCAATCAATATCACAGCCAGCGAACTCTGTCGATAGGCAGCTTCTTTCATGTTGACGATCCCGTATACGGTTCGTCGGTTCAAGTCCCGATAGTTGACTTTCAGTTTTCCATAAGTGATTATTAGATCCCCGTGGTTATGGTTTACCAGTTCTGTACTTCAACACAATGGCATGTGCTTAAAAAACTGGATTATCCAAAACTGGAAGATTGATTGCGGAAGACTTCAGCGGCCACCTTAGATCTGTTGGAGATTTTAGCACCGGCCAAGAGAAATGGTAGTCACACTCAACTGGTTGACTTGTCTACCAGCTTTCCTTCTGGTAGCAATTAGTATCACTACCACCTTGATTACAGTACTGTATACATTTCACCTTCTCAATACAATATCACAAACCCCTCTATCCTTGGTTCAGTGGACCATTACCTCATTCGAATTGTAATCATTATATCATCTCATTCCGGAAGCAATTCTGGGTGATTCGATGCGTTTCAAATCAGTGAACCAGAAATGAGTGATGCGTTGAACCTGATATGTATGATGTATGATATGATATATATGATATCGACTAGAGGTTATCGATTATCGGTGTTGACGTAGTTTAGTCCATGTTGGATGGAGCAAACGGGTTAGTAACGTGGAGGTAAGCCGTCGTGTGTTTGGGAGTTTATCAGGGATAAACCTGCTAGCAAACCGAATTCAGATTAGTAGACTTCGCTGGTATTGCGTATGACCAGCCACCGTCCGCCGCACCGCGCTTTGTTCGCTGTAGCTAATCCGGGCTGGAGAAAACGAAGTGGAGGTCAACAGATGACGTGGAGACGAGGTATGAAGAAATGCACAGAGCCATTAGGTAGAGTAGGCGTCTCGCGCCTTCCAAGTTGGAGTCCGAAAGACTTCACAACCGGTTGGTTGGAGACACTGAAGGATATGGCAGCGAACCGGCAGCAGGGGCGTTCTTGCTATCATTCCTTATCAGGCCGGAAAGCTCGAAACGATATGTATACAGAGGTCGATTGTGCCCTAGGTGTTGACCATAGTGGTTCACGTTTTTCCTCCTTCAAAGTAGGTCCACTCTCTGTCCACCTTAAATTTTACCACTAACCTTGTATGCATTGCGAGTTGGCAGCGATCACTGAAGTTCGTTTCATTGTACAGGTATTGACCAAACTCGTGCAACATCCTGATTTTCACCACAATTGTTCCTCGCAATGCTTCGTTTTTCCAGCCTCAATCACGGCATTCATTAAGATATTGCCCCACATCAGACGCAACATATCTGATATAAAAGCCACTTATGTCACTGCTTCTATTAGACACATGCCAGTAAAATGTACAATCTCGCGGTTTCAATGATTTTTGCTAGTGCATCGGTTGTAAGGTAACAAAGTCACAGTAGAAAACGTAACTGTAAATCACTTATTAAAATGACCCATAGACTTTATACATCTTTTTCATCTCGTCCATGTTCCATTTACTCTTCTTCATTTTTGAGCACTGGAGACAGCCGTTTTAGCATGGAATCCACTAAGTTGACTGCCAAACAGAATTCGCACACCCTTAACGCCGGCGACCAATGGTAAGGTAGCTAACTTATCCCTATTTCTGATAGAGGGAAAAGTTTCCAATAAAATTAAAATTCTAGCTGCTACGCCTTAATAGAACGAATTTGACATTGAAATCGACCCCTCTAGAAAATGCATAAATGTGAAAAAAATAATATTTATTTAGGTCTAACCGCTTTCTACCACCAAGCTGAAGCGAGCTGATATGCCAACCTTCATATGTGAAAAATATGACTTCCGCGAATGCATTTTTGGAGTGATAGTTATCAAAAACCTCCGTTATCAGTGCAGGAAATTTTACTATGTCCATATTGGCGTATGCAGGAGACCAACAACAATGCGCTCAATAGTCGTATCCCTTCCANTAAATTTGTTGGTCAAATCGATATGCGCTATGCTTTGTTGGGCGTTCAATAACGGCTTTATATCACGTGGTCTCAGCTGCATTTCAAATTGAGCCATCATTTTCCAAACGAAAGCGTGGGGGAAGAATGACTAATCAGCCCGGACTATCCTCCAGATTGGTTCTGTGCAACTCTTCTCGACTGCGATCGAATACGGCCATCGTCTTGTTTTGATATGCTCATTTTTTCTCTCTCAATTTATGTCTTGATGGAGAAATATCGTTGAATATGTTATAAATTGGACTTATTTTCACATCAAAGCACTTCCACAAAACACCAACTGAGCCAACAGATTTACACGCCTCTCGTTTAAGTCTTCTCTCGGCTTTAATTAAACGCCAAAACCTTTTGGAAGTTTCATCCGGTTTGGGCCTGGTGACACTACAGGACGCTTATTCAACGAGCCGCACATCTCAAGGTCAACTTTTGAAGATCAACTTGTGTCTTCCTTGGACTATGTTTTCAGTTCTTTCGGTATTGGAGATAATGCATGGGTAGTTTGTAGCATAATAATTTATCAATTTATTTAATCTAGAATATTTTCAGTGCACTGAATGAAAAGAGAATAAAAATTTAGAATACGTATGCCCAACCTAATAGAAACTCTCATGGGACAGGAATCATCTATTAAAAATAATGTGCTCCCATTCCCCTTTGCCCAAAATATTTTCTAAATCAGAGCTGTAACTTTCGAACTACTGCAAATTTAATAGCGACACTCAAGGTCGCGCACATTCAAACGGTGGCAGAAATGAACTAAGAACATAGATGTTGGAGATAAAGGCAGGAATAAATACACTTTGCCCACAACAATCTATATATAACTATGATATTCCAAGCTGAAATGGATTTTCAAAATGAGGGTGATGTTGCACGAGTTTGGTTAACACCTGTATTTCGTTGTACGGTGATGATGACGATAATGATGTGTTTCAGTACTGTGCCAACCGGATCACATCGGGGCTGAACCGAACTCACGAGTAACTGAGCAAAAATGCAAATTATCAATCCAACCTAGTAGGTTTGTGGCAAGTCAGTCTGTAATCTGCATGGAAGTCCTGACTGGGTGAGAAGTTTTCGACCGAAGTTAACAAATAGTCAACTGCGTCTGCTGCGTTGCTGTCGGGCCCAAATGAACTGACTGATTACCAATGAGGAAGATACCTGAACAAACATGAATTAAGAAATCAGTTCAACCCTGGCGGGGGCTGACTGGCATAAGGCTAACAAACACGACTTTCATGCGATGCGATTTGGAGTTCAAAGTAGAGACGAGGCGGTGGATATGCACTACTTATGAGTTCTAATAAGAGCGAAACTCAATTCTAATGCTACAGAGTGTAAGGCTGACTAAGTGCACGAGGATTGTGCGTGAAGGTGAAGTCTGAAGGATAGTTGAAATCAATATCAACTATCACACACCACCATTCGCAACTGAGTTAAATGCAACATCAATATATTGCCCAGGTTGGATGGAACGAGAGGATTATTAACCTAGAAGAAAATCGTTGGGTATTCGGGAGTGCATGGAATAGAAACTCGCTAGCGAATCGAATTCAGCTTAATGGACTCCGTTGGTTAGGAGAGG